ACACGACGTCAGTCGAAATGGTGGTGGTGGTGGTGGTGGTGGTGGTGCAGACTACGATGACGACGATGGCGACAAAGACGATAATCCAACGGCGTAAACACAAGCTTTCTCTCTCTTCCTCCCTATTTCTTCAAAGCATTGAACAAGATAGAAGACATTCTTGTTTCCTTCTTTCTTTCTTTCTCTCTCTCTCTCTCTCTCTCTCTCTCTTTTTCTTTTTCATCCTCGCTTTTACCCGAACAACTTTCAGCAAAGCAAAAGATAAAGTTCGATGACCAAACTGGTTATCTCTCTACGACTGTATGATTCTAAAAATGTACAGGTCCACTCAGTAAACGAACAAAAATCGAAGGCAGGTGGACCGGTACGTATTCTTATTTTTGGATCCGGGAAAGCTTCGTTGTCTGTGCTAGCTCGTTACGAGAATGCACTCGTAACGGATAAAATCGTACTTGTTTTAAGAAAACTCAATTTCAAATCATTAATGAAGTTCGAATACCGAAGGCTCGATTTTATCTTTATCCCCTGTTAAAAGTAAATTTTGTTTAAATTTGAAAATACGATGTGGTATCGGATTATTCTTCGGACCATGAATATGGTCAATGACCTCCTGAAAATGAAATGATTAAGTTGCTTATAATCTTTCCGATAACTTATGAGTACAGTAATCATTCGAAAATCTAAAAACGTCGGATCCGTTTCAACACCTTTCGATAACTTCGACATAAAATGTAAATAACGCACGCGGTGCTTGCAGGAAAGAGGAAACATAAACCGGAACGTATACGGACGGGGGTAACGTTTATTGCACAATTCGAAGTTGAAGACATCGCAGTGCTCTTTCTCTCTCTCTCTCTCTCTCTCTCCCTCTTTCTGGATCTGGTTATATATCATCGTGTTTGGAAATTTAATGGCCAAATGTATTTCTTCGAATTTCCTTGCAATATTTTTCGAAAATCTTTTAACTTTCTACGAAAATTTGTTATTTACGAGTTCTAACTTTTCCAAAGTAAATGTCCTGTGTGACAAACAATAAACAATTAATTTGGAATATTTCAAATATGATTGATATTACCATGAATTCAAAAACTTGTAAAATTCTCAGCTATCTTCCTTCCGTGTAGTATAGAAAACCATAAGGATGACTGTGACTCGATACAACGACTATCGAATTTGATATTATAAAGTTGTCTGACGAAAGTGGGCCATGTGAGTACTAAAGCATGTCACCTGTCGTTGGTTTAAAATCAGTCTGGAAGAAGATGAGGGTGGTAACGCACGAATAGGATTATCCGCTGCCAAAATCTTCGAGTCATTCGTGACCGATGGAAATGCCAGGAAGATTGATAATCGTTCTTCGGAAATCGTTGACGTGCGTAGGTGGATGAAAGGTGGATTATTTAATAGAGGAGGACTTCCCTGTCACCAAGCAATCTAGTTTCTTGATCCTTAAATCGTTTATCTGTAAATACACGTTTGAGTAAATGACGTAAGGAAAACGATCAACGTTTGTTTGTCGACCCTCTATAACCCCCATATAACTTTCCAAGTTATATACTTTAGTATATATATATATTACTGAGAAATATTAAGGTATTTATTATTTTCTAAAAATTAACTTCGTTATTTTAATCTTTTCACTATGGAATCTACATTATTTAAAAAAAAAACAAATCTACGTAAAAAATAAATGTCGTTAAATAACGTACTACGTAAAATAAATGTCTAAAAATCTTTTTACTCAAAATCCGAAAAAATAATTAAATTATAGAGAGTTAACATCATCCCCTATCTTGTAAATACTTTGAACTATTGTCTTTGTTTAAATGAAATCTAATAATATCACTACAATGGTAAGAGATTTTCTAACGAAAATCTTTTCTCGAAATAATATAGACATCTTACAATAATTAATGTTGATATTTCGAAAATCTAAATAACGAGCGCCAAGATTCGATAGAAAGTTTCGTTACGCATGTAGTATTCTTCGAAAGTTCCTTAGCAAATTTTCCCCTGTTGGAAAAAGAGTATGGAACGGATTTGTCTTGGCGTACGTATAAATCTCTGTCTCCTTTCTCTTTCTCTTTCTTTCTTTTTGTAACTCCCAGGTGACGCACTTGAAACTCCATGACTTCCGAAATTAGCGACGACGTAAAGACATGAAATTGCATTTTCGCACGTTCCTGTATTTACATGCACACGTGTGCTAGCTTGTGCATGTCCGTATGCATGCGTATGTGTGTATCAAACGTGCCGAAAGAAAAATAATCCGATCCTTTTTTTTTCCTTTCTTTAATACGAAACGAATTAATAAGAGTTTTCCACCCTTTCCTTGAGTTGCAGTTGAACACTTGAGAAAAAGAAAGAGTGAAAACAACCCTCACACGTACGTCCAACCCTCACCATCTTCCCCCTCGCTCTTGATCTTTGTGCTGTCTAGTAAGAAGAAAGTAAGGGGGTGGGGGGAGATATATGTATAAAGGGAGGGTGGGAGTGGGTTTGATTGGGGTGGGAGGCTTTCTGCCGCTTCTGATGCCGGGGCGAAATCTATTTTGGGAATCGAGTTAATATTTGACGACGACAGGGTTGCCGCTGGCAGATCTAAAAATACACAATCAATACGCGCGAACCACGACGGAATTAAGATCGCAGGTGTAGCGCGCTCGTGAATCTATGTAAGTAAGCATATATATGTATATTTATGTACACACGTTCGAAAGATTCAACCCCCGAAGACAAACTTCAATGTAACGTTACTCTATTACTCCCTAAGATCTGCAAACAAAAAATACCTTCGGAAAAACTGACACTTATTTGTAACCGATACCATGTTTTTCTTTCACATCAAACCTTATATCTATTAAATATTACAAAATTATCGATAAAAATATATATATGAACGACGTTTAACGCAAGATTATTGAATTATCGATATGATATTCGTTCGATTGCTTCGGAAAGTTTGTACCGATTTATAAATTTATACTCCATTAATATTTTTCATATATATTTATATATCTACATTTGTTTCTGACAACCCCCAATGCTTATACCATTAGTAGATTACCTGAAGAATTTTGTGTGGTGCCGATTTTAAGAAATATGTATTATATAGTAAATTTAATAATCGACACGAACTTCCTGATCAACCAAATAATTCGTTGAAATATTATTGACATTATAATGATTGAATTAAATTTACAATAAGAACAATAAAATATATAAAATAAAATATATAAATAATCAAGAACACATTGACTGTTATTTTTAAACGAAGTTGAACTAAGTAAGACAGTAGACGCTGTTGTTGCTTCGCTATTATATTTGAACCATCAACTAAAGTTGATTTCTCACGTACGTGAATACAGTACATACTAAATAAAGTACCGTAAAAAGAAAGAAAAGTGTCGACTTGTGCTTATTCGTGTCTTCCTCTTACCAATGAAAAGACCTCGGACAAAAAAAAAAAAAAAGGTATAATAGAACGTTAAAGCAATGTCAAGTACGTCTATTCCAGGCCTTGTGAGATTGCCACCCCACCACGATTACATATACATATATACATAAATACATGCACATATATACGTATATATATATATATATATATATTTCGAGAACGCACGTGGTTTTAGCAGATCTTTCTCGATCTCTAAACTTCCTTTAAATCCCACACTATCCAATCGAATATTACGGTACGGTAATTCCAGAAACGTTACAAATACACCATCAACCATCATTTTCAGTGAGAAAATTTATTTACATTAGAAGAGATTTACGTGACAATTCCAAGCTTTTTGTTGATAGTGTATGTATAATATTTAGTATCACGAGTCTGTAACTCGTAAAATATTGCAAGTTTTGAAATACACTTTTCTTTGAATGTTTAAAAACTTCTCAATGGTTCAAAATCCTCCCTCGTTTCTCCTTACTTTTCTTCCTTTTACATATTTTTTTCAATTTTCTTTTATGTTTTGAAAACTGCAGAATAGACACAATTCCTTTTCGCAGTTCTATCATCGACGACTGCCCACACGTTATAAAACTACTACTACTACTACTACTGCTATTACTACTACTATTACTACTATTGCATTAGAAACGTACTTTTCATAAAAAAATTTCCCGTCATCTGACAACTTTATGATCCCCTTTTATGAATTCACAGTTGAACGCGGCGTTAAACTTCATCTAATATTAGATTTTAATGAAAATGCAAACCACTTAGCTCGACTCGTTTCACTTAATTCGCATACTGCTTTCAAATAAGTATAACGAGACGCAATAAAAAGCCGAGAACTTGAGAAATATTAAGTATGAATAAGTACATAAGAATTACCCGCAAATGAATCATATGAAAAGAAATGGTTATTCGGTAATGCGTATACGATTATGGAATAAATCCTGTTGTGATGTCATTAAATTCCTTGATGAATATTATCTATAAAACGTTGACTGATCCTGCGCAAGACGTATAGTCCAGCTATGACGTCACGTTTAAAGTTAATCGAAGTCAAGTAATTAAACATCTACCGAGATTATCTTGAGATATTATTCGTTTTTTGCTCATAATCGGAAGCAATACTATTAGAACTTTTAGATATTCATTTGATTTAATCTTTGGCTCTTATGCTCTTTAATATTAATTGTGATCATCTACAACTAGCTTAAGTAAAAATAATTCAATTAACATGGCGACTAAAGTCTTACGTATTACAAATACGAGAAAAGAAAGTATAATGCAAATAATAATGTAAGGTGGATAGCATATGACGTCACGATCGTCATAGTAACTCCCCTAAAGATTACTTTGGTTTACAATTAATACTGTAACGAGCATAAAAACCCAAGATGTTTGTACAGCACATATAAACGAATAAAGATTAATTCAAATATTATATTAAATGTAACAACGTGAAATAAAACGTTAGTAAAAATATATGTATTTCGACTTTGTATTTACAAAAAAAAAATGCTAATACTATTTATTACAAAATCAACAAAATCCGTATTTTTCTTTGATAAAGCAAACAAAATTTAATCCTAATACTATTAATATTATTGTCATTATTATGTTTTCTGCCACTTTTAATCGTCACTCTTTTATACTTTTCAATTGTTCTACAAATTTGGTAGATTCGTCACTGTTACTATCAGATCATTATCATATATCTTCCACAAATTTGTAAATTCATTGACAAATCGTTCAACCAATACGGGATGATTGGTTACTATAATATTCTCTGAATTTCCAAATAATGCCTGCATAGTCCAATTAGCGCTTCCAGTTATAAGAATTTTATTATCGATAATGACAAATTTATGATGCATAAGACTATCAGAAGTTCTAGTTCTAACCTTAATACCTGTAAATGTAAATGTTTTAAGGAGTTCTTAGTTTATTCAGTTGTCGTATGAAATATATAAAAAGCATAAGATATGGAAGCTTTCCCTTGCACAATACTTGTCAATTACTTGATTGATATTTGTAAGACGCTCCCATTACTATGCGTTTTACTTACATGCTCTACGGAATGGTAAAATTTGACTATGATCTACTGTGTTCATACCAGCATCAACTATAACTTTAACCACAACTCCACGTTTATGTGCGTTTAAAATAGCATTGCCCAATATTTGACAAGTAAATAAATACATGCAGACATGTATAGTGTCTTTAGCACAATGCAAATAATTTGTTAGCTTACTGAAAAATTATTAGAAATAAACTTGGAAATTACTTTGCCAAGGACAATATGAAAATATAATATACATTAAAACTTGTTGTTCAGTATAAGCATATACTTAAAACTAGGAAACTATTAAAAAATTGTATATTAAGAAACTTAATCATTCTTTGTTCTTACTTTAAATTAGCCACAGAACAGTCCAATTTTTCACAGCATTCATTAGCACCTAGATGCATTCGACATGAAACTGAGTCTTCAGTGAAAAATAATATTTCCATTATATATTCATTATTGAGAGAAGGATTCAACTCAAGAAATTTTTCTTTTAAATTAATAGATTTATCTAATTTAGAATATTTTTTATATCTTTCCCAAATAAATTTTGAAGTAAAAATAACATTTGCTAAGATAGAAAATATCACCACATTGGCGATAGATAAAGATCGTTTAACTAATGTCATATTAAAATATATTTCATATTTATCTCTACTCAATTTTGACACAGCATTACTAGTTGTGTTCATAATCACTGATTTAATTGTGGATATAAAAAGCATTTTATATCCTTACTATTATAAATAATACTGATCCTATATTTTACTTTTTATTTCTGACACTTTTTATGTAATTAATAGAATAGATACACTTATATAAATTGCACTAAACTTGCATAATCTTGATTTTTTTCAACAATCTATATTTTTTAAACTTTTTCCAGCTAAAATTCAAATAATAATATCTATCCTCTAAAATATAATCCCTTATTATGCTCACAATACTTATACTTAATTAATATCACTGAAAAGAATTATTCTAATATCTTTGAATATTTTTTTTCATAAAAGTCATAATAATCTAATCCATTTTATAAAAAAAAAGTCAGGTTATACACATATATCTTTTCCACAATCGTGATCGGTATTACAATGGTAAAACAGGTTACAGTTAAAAAATATCAGCCTATGTTTCTGTTGTATCGACTGTTCAGATTATAATTAAACGAGAGAGAGAGAAATATCCTAGTACGAATAAAAATATTAAAAACATAACAGAAAATTAATCTAAAAATGTAATAAAAATGATTTCGCAAATAATAACGATTGCCCAGTCTTAAAACTTAAAGGTAGCTTGTTTTTGGAGATCTAATTATTTCTAAAATTATAATACAAGTGAAATATTATATTGAACATAATATGACTTAATAGAACTTGAAATAATAATCCAGAACGAGTATGATATACAATCTTAATCATTTTTATTGTTTACATTCATGATCCTTGATAACTTCTACGTGTAAGATAACTTTTATAACGATGTGTTTTTATTACATATTTAAATGCATACATATACAAGAGAATACACTTTTGGTGTACAGTGTATATATTGCGATGTATTATATAATATAAAATACGATATTTTATCAAAGTATTAAAGTTAAAACTAACCTTCGTTATATATTAATCAGTCTTTTATATATATATGTCACGAAATATTACTATTTATATTTCGTCACCGTTAGTAATTATTTAAACCGGCTGCTGTTACAATTAAGACGCGCAGGCGTATTAGTAGACTTAGAAAGATTCGGTAACGCTGACAACGTAGCGACAGAAGATATAGAAAGAGTTAGGAGTTGTCTAAGCAGAGACGGTTAGGGTTCGAATTGCGGATCAGTAATAAGACAATAAAACAAGAGTGAATATTAGCTGTAAATGTTGTTTCTCTTATTTGCAGGTAATGTAACTAACGTACATAGTGTAGTTTTAAGTGTAATTTGTATTAAACAATGTAAAGCAATGCAGATAATGTAATTTAGTGTAAATAATGTTAATAAAATAATCGACTCTTATTTGCAGAAACTCAAGGCAGTTATATTTCCTAAGATATAAATCCTTGTAAGAACAGTATAAAATATACCTTATATATATATTTATATAATTTGAAGAGAAAAATTTGTAATCTTACGTTTAAAAATACAAAACCATCTTGAACTATACAACAACGAAGCTTTAAACAAGGAGGACGATCGAGATAGGCGTTCTCGTCGAATTTGTGACGTTGAAAATGAGGATACATCGGGTACGATAATTCTCCACAAGGGCGGCGGTGGTGTTCGAGGGTTCAGATTTTAGTACGTATATGTGTTGCGTGTGGTACAACTATATATATTTAAAAAATCAGACCATGCGAATCGACGCGCTCTCTAGTGGCAATAGAAATCATCCTCTCATTGTGAATATGTAGCCACATTTATAACACTGCGATTGTCCTTCTTGTATATAGGCTCCGTGTATACAACCATTCACTGCCGCTGCTTCTACATAAATGTTAAAATGTAGTCATGATGACTACGATCTGATTGGCTCTTAATTTTTACAAATCATGGTCGATCAATTTAACGCGCGATAACTGCATGACTTTGAAATTATTATTTCGATATATTTAATATCATATCAGTTAATAATTGATTAAAATTATGATAAATGAGCAACATTTATAACGACGTATTGTAAGCAATCAAAATCAATCGATTAAAGTTAATTTAAAATATTTTATAAATAATAAAATATAAAATAAGCAACAACAATTTTCAACTTTGAACAATTTGTTTGGATATAAATTCTTTATCTCTATTCCACAAAATATTGCAAATAGTATTAAGTTGGTAAGAACAGTCAAAGAGTTCTGATCTGTTTGTTAATTTATTTGAATCAATTTTAATAATCTTCACCTTCCACTTATCTTCGAATTCTTTAACTTGAGTTTCTTCTACCATCGAATTCGACCATGGCTTAAATCTGTTAACGTTAAATACAATGAAAGTAATGATTGTTTATACTTAAATAATTACTATTTATAATAAATATAGTTTGTATAAGCTTACTTTGTGCCAATTACTATATTCGCTGGTTTTTCTTTGATTGTACTCATTGTGTTTATCAAATAAGGTATGTCGTTAAAACTCGTTATATCATCGAAGGAAAACACAGAACATATTGCATCTACTTTATCTTTACATGCCTAAAAAAATATATTTAAATATATTTTTATATATATATATATACTAACTTTTAATATTTTTATTAGAACGCAGAAATAGATGTACTGGTAAAATATGATTATATTTTTTAATACTGCTCTCTGATGTATCCCAAAATTGTAATTTAAATAGTATAACTTTATCCCAGATTTTCACCGGCCAAAAAACATTTGTTTTTTTGATACCATTAGTTTCGATATAATTATTGGGTTCTGGAAAACCAGCTAAACGTGTTATGACAGAAGTTTTTCCTACGCCTGATCTACCAATCATAAAAATTTTGTAAGTAACTTCCTCGATAGAAGACGGCAATGATGGTTTTTCCAAGATACCTAAAAGCGTAAGATATTTTCTGTAAAATCTTGAGAATCATCGATAGGATTTATACTATAAAATAAATAAAAAGAAATTAATATAAAGAATGTACAATAATCATTTACCATAAAATCGTCTCTTCTTTGATGAATTAATATAAAAATGATGCATTAAAGATTCACCCTCGGCTGAGCTTAACCAGTTCATATTTATTGCATTCATGATGATATTAAATAGTATAATTCAATTCCTAAAAAGGTATATACATACACTAAATAATATAATATCACATATTACAAACTTATAAATTAAATATTCTGTATCAATTACATAAAAATACAAAACGTAAATAGTAAAAAAACATCACGCTGGCACATATGTATGTATATAGATATATGTTAATATATATATATACCACATATGCATGGAGCCTGTATATAGCTCCGTTCACATATGTATCAATTATAATAATCGACGAAAATCGATTTCGATCTTTGGGATTAGGTTTATTTATCAATATATCGAACGTATAACGATATTATCTAAAATTTGTTGCCTTGTTCGTTCTCTTTCGTAGAAAGGTGCAACCCAACGGTATTACCCAATAGGAATAAATCCCGCCTTGCATAGACCAATAAGAGTTGGAGTTATCCTGAATATTTGAATGACAAGCATTTCCATTAGCCGTGAAGTTAGCAGTTGTATGACATCTTGTGTTACATTGACCAATAAAATCCACTGATCATACGTAACGCGTTGTTTGCAGTCATACCGCCATATTGTATATGCAGCGCGGGTTACTGGCGCGTGTATGGGACTTCTTGTGAATATTTAGTGAAGTAAAAGTGAGTCAATCGTCTAAATTCCTAGGATAATACACGCTATGGATCCAGCTAAATTAAAAGTCGTTGAGTTAAGGGTGCAGCTGTCTCAGCGTGGCCTTGACACGAAGGGCAACAAAGCGGTTCTTGTTGAGAGACTTCGGAAGGCGTTGGAAGAGGAAACGGAAAACAGTAAGTTTTGCCTTTGAAACAGTAAACAACTTACATCTACAAGCTTTCCCACCATTCTCCTCACCCCTTTCGTAAACATCCTTATCGATTAACTTATAACGTACATTACAATGTCTTATTATTCTTATATTACTAACAACATTTTTATAACACTATAGATATTATTCTTATATTACTACAACATTTTTATCCATTTCCTATCATTTAACATTTAACATTAGTCATTGTTATAGCCTAGTCGTTTTTAAGTTGTATTTATTAATATCGTATCGTTTTTAAGTGTAATATTATTTACATTATGCAGATATTTATTTATTTTCTTTATTTTATATATATAATCATTAATTATAAAAATATTTATTTATATTTTAGAACCCGAACAAAAGATGACTGAAAATACAGAAAATGTAGATGATACCGCTTTGAAGGAAGCGAGTAAAAAATCAGTCCAACTGCCAAAAACACCAAGTCGTTCTTCTAGAAGTTCATCCCTGACGCCAACAAAAATTAGTACCAGAAGTACACCAAAGCATCTAACGACAACAGTATCTACTAAAACATCTATGCCAAATAAAGATATGGAGAAAACTAAAGATTTATTGACTACGATGGGACAAATTCCAAAAGATGATACAACTGCTGAAAGAGATTTAAAAACTCCTCCTCCTCAAAAGGATAATGAAGAGGAAGATGAAGAGGATGAACAAGATTCTCCAACAACGTTTGTACAGGAAAAAGTACAAATGTCTATTTCAGAAGATCTTAAGGAAGACTCAAACGAAGATAAAAAAGAACAAGATAATTTATTAAAAGATGATATAGACGAAGATGCATTATTGAAAGACAATCCAGAAGATGCATTATTGAAGGACAATTCAGAAGATGCACTATTGAAAGACAATTCAGAAGAAGCGTTACTGAAAGATCCATTAGAAGATGAACTTGTAACAGATTCATTGGTACAAGAAGCACAGGAGCATGCTGAGGAACAATCTTCCGAGATACCAGTAGATTCTAGTGAAAAATCTGAAGATAACACAAAAAAAATGAACGAAAGAGAACAACCTGATGTTGAGATGGAAAAAGAAGATGAAACTGTTGATAATGAAAGCAATTTGGAGAATGTTGAATCAATAAATGAAAGTAATCAAAATACATTGAATGATGAATCACAAGAAGATATAGAAAAAAGTGTAATAGATAAACAATCAAAGGATGATACTTCCGATATGGACTGTGATGTCGAAATGAAAGAAAATGTAGAAGCAATAAAACATGTAACTGAGGACAAAAATTTGTCAATGGTAGGGCAACCGATTTCAGTTATTTGTGAAAATCAAAAAGAATCTGAAACAGTACAATCAAAAGATAACAAAAATGTTAAGGATGAAGAAACAAAGGTAGATAAAGATGATCGACAATTATCAGATATTAAGGTAATAACTGAAGATGCATGTAATGATGCCTCGGTAGGTGACCAGGTAATTTCATATGAATGTTTAATTTCTTATTTTATTTTCTAATGGATTCTATTGTTGATAATTGAATTTTTATTTTTGATCTTTTTACTAAAGGATGTAGAAATGGTAGAAGTTAAACGTGAAGAAAACACAAAGGAAGGTAGTAAAGACTGGAATATGGATCATAATGATAGAAAACGTAAAAGATCTTCTAGTCCTCAAGAAGAATTGCCAAAATCTCCTTCATCGCCTTTATCAGAAAATGAACCTGAAATTGATGATACTGCTGTAGTTCTCTCTTGGTGTAAGTTATTAACATTTTTAATGTTCTATGTACATATCATATTATATAGTATTTTTAATATTCCATTGAAAACTTAATTGATTATGTTATGATATTTGCAGATGATTCAGATTTAAATCTACTTATTGAAAAAAATAGTTTCCTATCTGCTACGCCGATGCACAACGATGGTTTTTGCTATATATGGGCAGGAGCTAGGGCATCTCATGGCTACAAAAGTGGAAAAATTTATTACGAAGCAAAGATTGTTGATCACTGTTCCATTAATGCGCAAGACGAAGAATATTCGCACGTACTTCGTGTAGGATGGTCTGCTTCTCATACTTCTATGCAACTTGGCGAAGACAAATTAAGTTATGGTTATAGCGCGACGGGAAAGAAATGCATAGAAAATAGATTTGAAGATTATGGACCTCAATTTACTAAGGACGACATTATTGGATGTTACGCAGACATGTCTCTTGAAAATAACGTCGTATTATCATATACACTGAACGGAAAAGATTTAGGAACTGCATTTTGTATACCTAGAGAAGAGCTTGGAGATAAAGCATTATTTCCGCATGTTTTAAGTAAAAATTGTACTTTTACTTGTAATTTTGGTCAAGAAAAACCATGGTGCGAAGATATATTGAAAGGATACAATATAGTGGGTAGCACTGATCTCAAAGATAGAACTCCAGGACCACGAAGACCGGAAAAGAAAGAAGATTGCGAGGTTCTAATGATGTGTGGTTTACCTGCAGCTGGAAAAACAGTATGGGCAACAAAATACGCAGCGCAATATCCAGAAAAAATGTACAATATTTTGGGTATAAGCACGCTCGTTGATAAAATGAAAGTACGTTCTTCAAATATAAATATTTTATTCGTTGTTTATCATTCATAAGATTAATAATTGGAATTTTTTTTTATTTAGAACATGGGTCAACCACGGAAACAAAATTACCATGGTCGATGGGAAGTACTTATTGAAAAGTGTACTCGTACATTAAACAAATTATTAGAAATGGCATGCAGTAGAAGACGTAATTATATTTTAGATCAGGTGAGAGATAATATTATTAAAATATAAACATACATCATTGAAATTGAAAGATTTAATTCATATATTTGTATTTACAAGACATTGTAATTATTGTAACATTTATATTTTATTTCTTTTTTATGAAATTTATACAGACAAATGTATATCCTTCTGCGCAAAGACGAAAAATGAAGAATTTCAGTGGATTTCAACGTAGGGCAATAATTGTAGTACCAACAAATGAAGAATTCAAATCACGCACTGCTAAACATGAAGCAATTGATGGAAAAGCTGTTCCTGATTCCGTAGTCATGGAAATGAAAGGTTTGTTTCTAATTGTTCGTAATCATTTTTCTTTTACGATATCAGAAAGTACTAAATTTTAAGGATTGTATAAAATTGGAATACATTATCGAATAATGTGGATGCATGTATATACAAGTTGTCTAATTAAAATGTTCAATTTTAAAGCCAATTTCAGTGCTCCAGAGGTAGGAGAATCTTTCAATGAAGTTAATTGGGTCGAACTTAATAAAGAAGATGGTAAAAAATTAATAGAAAAGTATAACAAGGAAGGAAAGGAAGCTGGTTACGGACAACAATCAACCAGTAAACGACCAAGATTCGAAAGAAGTGAAGGTCATAAAGACAGCCGTGATTCACGAAATAGTCGTGATAGCAGAGATAGTCGTGATAGTCGAGATAGTCGAGATAGTCGAGATAGTCGAGATCATCGGGATCATCGTGACAGAAGAAATAATTGTGAGTAGTTTTGTTTTTATTTTTTCCCTGTTTTCTCGTATAATAATAATAATAATAATAATAATAATATAATTTGATTATGCATTTATATCTTTGCAGACTCAAACAGAAATCGTAATTCCATGTGGCGCGGCGGTGGTGGTGGTGGTGGCGGTGGCGGTAGTAGTAGTAGTATGGGAAGTTGGAGAGAAAGATCTATAAGAGGAGGTCATATGAGACATAGTGGTGGATATGGTCCTTCAAGCACTTGGAGAAGCAGAGGTGGTATGCTTATCCCACCACATCGTGGAGGAGACAGGAGAGGTGGAAATAATGACAGAAGAAGTGGAAATGATAGAAATCGATCTGTAGCACGACAAAGTGGTGGATGGGGTTCAGCTAGGTATAAGATGTTTTTAATTCACGCGCGATGTACCTAATCGATCATTTGATTTCGTTGTTGTTATACCATCTATTAAAAAAATATATATATAAACATTAATTGCTTAATCTTTACTTTGGTTTATTATTAGTAGTTACCAAGGATCACAATCATCAGGATGGAATCAACCAGGTGGTGGTAGTTGGTCAAGTAGCAGCCAATCCCAAGGAGGAGGTGGAGGAGGAGGGTGGGTACAAGGAGGATGGGCAGGTCAACAGCAATCAGGCAGCTGGAAGAGTTATGGCCAAGGATCGTACAGCCAGTGTAGTTACAATCAGCAAGGTTATGGCAATGGAAATTGGAACCAACAGTATTATAATCAGTATTGGGATCCGCAGCAGTCAAGTGGGCAGACAACTGCAGCTGGTAGCCAAGCTGTAAGCAAACAATAATCCCCAGCACAGTAAATGTTACCAGAGTGGAACAGAAAGTAAGGTATAGATGCCTTCTTTTCAATATTTCTTGTTTCTATACTGTTTTGCTATTATTCACATATTTACTATCTTATATGTAACTAGTTTAATTAGCTGAACAAAATATTTCGTCTTACACTGACGAATTACTTTTAGATTTCTAAACATGGAGTTA